TCAAAAAAAAAAAAACAGTTGTACATAGAGAGTGGACACTTCTATTATAATCTAACCTATTATACTTAGCTTCAAAAAAAAAAAAACAGTTGTACATAGAGAGTGGACACTATTGACAAAAATATATACACATAATAATAATAATAATATGATTATGTCAAAATAATATTAAATAATTTTTTGATGACAAAATAAAAACTTAAATCAACTCGAGTATAATTAAACTAGTATATCCCTAAATAAATGATCGTGAATTCGAATCTTCAGTATTTAAAAAATAATTTTACAATTATAAATAAAAGCTTAAAAATTTAACCAAAATGAAAACAGATTATATCAATTACTGCTAAGCTCGTATAATTTACTCGTTTTGGTAATAAAAAAATCTATTTTTTCTCTGTATATATATGCCTAAACCATGCTCAAAAATCCTGCTCTATTTCTAGATTCATAACTTAACTTTAAAAAATGTCATAAAGTATCAAAAGAAAAATCATTCTCCATGAGAACTTTGATGGCACCAAACAAAAGGCTTTCATTTTGGTCAATTATTGAAAGATATGATAGCTGCTTTCCGGAGAAGAACCAGGGCCCCAATTCAGTAAATAAGGGGCGGCTGGGAAACACAGGCTCGTGGCCCCTCCGTGGCTTCCTTTGCTCCTCATTCATTACATCTTTTATTACAGACAAACCAAAAATGAAACTTGTCCTGCCAAACAGGGACTTCCTCAGCTGACCCCACCTCCATTGTTGAATTTGTGGAAACAACGACAGAAAACTGCAGTTTTTCAGAAACTTTGGGTTTTGTATAAAAAAAAAAATCATTAGATTTGTACCACAAATCTCTGCTGGCTTCCATTCATAAACATTTAACCTCTTTGTTTGACATTTCTCATTACCTCCACCGCTGCTGCACCTTACAGTACACCAACTATGTACCAAACTTGTAAGTTTTCATTTCAAAAACCCACTAATTTTTTCTTCAGAGTAATTTGTAACAATTTTACATAGCCTTTTTCAAGGTGTAGTGTAAGAGAATGGTATACAAGTCAGAGACTAGAGAAAACTTTAGGCTTTAACTAAATTAGAGTTTAATGTTTAGAGGCATACTCGGTAAAAGAGGATGAAAGCTTGGGTTCCTTTCTAGCAGTGGCGCTGGCGGGCCTGGTTTCTGTGGCAGCCTCCTGCAGCAGTTTGACGACTCTTCTCATTGACGGGCGGTTGATTGGGAATGAGCTTGTGCAGAGCAATCCCACATCAAGGACTCTGTAGATTTCTTCCTTGTAATCGGAACCGAGTTTCTGATCAATCACTTGGTCGAGTCCTTTGCGGTCGACAGTGGCGCATACCCAGTTTGCCAAGTCTTTCTCTCCAAATTCTGGATCGTTTGGAGGCCGCCCTGTTACCAACTCTAGAATCACCACCCCGAAGCTGTAGATGTCGCTCTTTTCGTTTACTCTTAAAGTATAAGCATATTCTGCATCAAGCATGTGACAGAGTCAGAAAGTATCGAAGTCCTTTTGTCCAAGTAAATGGAAACAAATTCTATGCAAATAGAATGTTGGATGCTTGATGAAGAATGCCCATAATCACTCAAGTTATTTGTCAAGATGCACAATCACTCGTTTGTACAAATATCACATGATCCCAATATGAACAAAGCAATCCCAAGGAATAAACTCATTTGTGCAAATATAACAACATATTCCTCCTTGATATGAAGCATTTTCAATAGAATTCAAAAGTAAAATCATGCAAACTTGAATTAAATTGAACAATACCATAACATTGCATAGGAATATGAAGATGGTCATTGTCCTAAAAGTAATAAGAATTACTAATGTTTCAAATCATGAAAAGAGGGTGGTACCTGGTGCAATGTAACCGCAAGAACCAGCAATGACAGACATTGGTTCTGAGCCCTTGCCAGCATTCAAAAACTTGGCTAATCCAAAGTCTGCAACTCTAGCTCCAAACTCAGAATCAAGTAATATATTGTTAGATTTAATATCCCTATGAACAATTGGAGGAGCACAGTCGTGATGCAAGTAAGAAAGGCCTTCAGCTGCGTCCAAAGCAACTTTATACCTCGTCGGCCAATCCAAAACGCGCTTTCTGCTGCCGTGCAGCAAATCTCCCAAGCTCCCATTGGGCATGTACTCGTACACCAATAGCTTGCAATTGCCGGTGTTGCAGCAGCACCACAACCTTACAATATTCTTGTGGCGGATCTTCCCCAATGTCTCAACTTCAGCCTCAAATCCATCTTTCTCTGAATCCAAACTGGTGTCCTCTTTTCTTGCTCCCTGCCATAGCTTCTTCACGGCCACTACGTCGCCATTTTTTAGCACAACTTTGTACACTTTGCCGGAAGCTCCACTTCCTATGACTTTGTCTTCGCTAAGGCAGTCTGCTATTTCATATTCGCTGAAACCGAGTTTATGGAATGATCTCCACTTGGAAATGGCAATTCCTTTCTTGTTCTTCTTGAATTCTTTGTACTTAAAGAAGAACCAAATGACCCCAACAACAAAAACAACGATAGCAAGAAGAAAAATCGATCTGAGAAGCCAGACGTTACCTTGGTCTTTTCTTTTTCCAACTCTAGGACAAAGACTCGGAACGTTGCTGCACAAGCCTGGATTACCCAGAAAGCTCTCTCTGTAAATTTCCTCAGCATAAAGAGGAGGAAGTTCTCCTGATAACAGATTGTTCGACAGATTTAGCAAATTCAGTTTCAAATTCTGCAATTCAAGTGGTATACTTCCACTGAGACGGTTACTGGAGAGATCAAGATAATTAAGCACGGGTAGGCTTCCAATTTCACTCGGGATGTTACCAGATAACCTGTTGTTTTCCAAATTTAGCTCGTTTAGCCTTTTCAGAGCTCCAATTCCATTTGGTAATTCACCGGATAGTTTATTCTCGCTTAGATCAAGTTTACCCAACAGGCTTAACTTAACCAAAGTTCCGGGGATTTGACCGCAAAACATATTGGCATGGCCTGAAAGTTCAGTCAGATTGCTTAACGATCCAATCTCTTCCGGGATCGACCCCGAAAATTGATTTTGTGAGATCATCAAAATTGAGAGATTCCTAGCGCTGGATATTATCGAAGAAATAGACCCAGAGAGCGAATTCTCAACGAGCTCGAGCAAATACACGTTGGGCAGACCCCAAAAATCGTCAGGAACCGCACCCGAAAGTTTGTTATTCCTCATCCGAATCCGGCTTAAGCTGGTGCATTTTCCGAGACTCGGTGGGATTCTTCCGGAAAACAAATTGTAAATCAATATAAGCTCTTCCAGTGTCCCTTTCGCACACAAGTTTTCCGGGATTCCGCCAGAAAATCCGTTGTATGAAACATCAAGATGCTTTAATGGGGAGTTCTGGCCGAGTTTACCGGGCAACTCCCCACTAAGCTTGTTGTTAAACAATTTAAGCTCATACAAGTACGGCGACCGAACGATGCTCTCCGGCAAAGGACCTTCCAATCGATTCTCGAACAAATTTAGCGACTCGAGCTGTAACGAACAGAGCTCGTCCGGAATCGTTCCAGTCAAGTGGTTCATCGACAAATCTATTCGCCGCAGTGCGGTTAGGTTAGAAAATCCCGAAGGCAACTCCCCTGAGAGCGAGTTGTTAAACAGTTCAATTTGAACTAAACTTTTCATTTCAGTGAGTGCCACCGGAATCGGCCCACTGAGTCTGTTGTTAGACAAGTCCAGATTCTTAAGCCGAGCCATCCCGCCAACGGTTGCCGGAATCTGACCGACAAGATTACAGTTAGCGAGCCAGAGATCCCGTAGCTTCGTCAAGTTACCAAATGCACTCGGTATCTCACTCCGCGCGAATGGATTGTAAGCAAGTTGAAGCTGTTTCAAACTCGAAATGTTGCCCAAAGTACCCGGTATAGTTCCATTCAGAAGATTATCAACTAAATTAAGCGTCTCAAGTTGCCGAAACCCACCGAAACTCGCCGGAATATCCCCGGAAAAGTTGTTTCCAGAGAGATCCAGCTGCCGGAGATCGGGGATCTTGGAAAGCGCGCCGGGAATAGAACCGGAGAGGAGATTCTGAGACAAGTTAAGGCGCTGAAGGGTTGCACAGGAGGCAACGTCGTCGGGAAGAGAGGCATTAACGGCGTTATTGGAAAGAGAGAGTGAGGAGAGAGAGGGAAGTCGGCAAATGAAGGCCGGGAAAGGGCCGGCGAGCTGAAAATCGGAGAGGTCGACGGCGACGACGAGGCCAGACGCGGAATCGCAGGTAACGCCGGACCAGTTGCAGGGAGTGTCGTCCCGAGGGTTCCATGAAGATAGGGACTGAGTCGGATCGGAGAGGCCGAGTTTGACTCGCTGGAGATACAGTCCCTCTTGATTGAGCGGGAAGACGACGGGAGGGAAGAGAAGAAGAAGAAGGAGAAAAAACAGAACAGAAGGCATTCTGTAGAGAGAGAAATTGAAGAAATCGGATTTAATTTAATTTAACTGTGGCCGTGGGAAAGAACGAGCGTGAATATGAAGCGTGAAAAAGGTGGCCCCTAGAAGAAAATTAATTTAATTAAAAATAAAATTAAAATTTTAGATTTTCGGCCCCCACGTTATTTGTATGTACATTAATTACGATTAGTAAGCTGATTAAATTTTCTTTACCAAATGCGCAATACGCGCACATTTACGATAAATTCTAGACAAAAATAAAATAGCAATAATTAAGTGAAGAGGGTTCTCCCTAGTGTTGACAAAATAGAGTTTGTTCAATTATTACATAAAAAAAAAGTATAATTTTGGATCTTTAACATTGAAATTTTGCTTATATGTTGGTTTTAGTTTATTGGATCTTATACCATGTTAATATCCATAGAATTTCGTCTCAAAATCAACTGACAGTGAGAATAGTATGAGCTTTTGTTAGGTCTATCATCTTTTTAACGTGATATCCTTAACAATAACCAGAGTAATTAAGTATTTAGGTTTACGTGTTAGATTTGAATCTTCACTTTTTTACGTATATATATTTTAGATATGAATACACAATTGATTCACGAAGACAAACTAAAATTGTATAAATCCTAAGTGTGTTACTAAATGTCAATATAATTATTATTCAACTGTTAAGATGTTAGAAACTTGGTAACTCATTGTTTGCAAGAAAAGTTGTTGTAAATTAATGAGATGGTTTGTAGATTAAGGGGTGGCATTTGAAAATAGGAAAATCTAAATTCTCAAATGATTAAAAAGAAAAAGAAAACAGAGAAAGGGTCCAAATCCGTTCTTCCTAATTATGCAATGTGATATTTTTTAAAAAAATGTCACACATACCTTCCATTTGAAAAACAATTTTATGGTTTCATAATTTATTTACTATATTATTTGTTTTTTAAGCTTCTTTGATATGAAATTGAAAGCTTTCAAGATGGAAAATACAAGAATAAAACAAGAAAAATGAAAATTTGGCAGTGTTTCTATCATGCCTTTAAATTTTTATCCTACTCTTTTACAAGTCCTTTTCACCCACATCAATTTTATGATGGGCCACTCTTGCTATCAAATAAATTTTTGGTAAAACAGAATGACACGACAACTAGTAATCTATTACTATTAGCATTGAATTATACTTCAAACCGACAATCAAATTAATTGAAAATGTCTTACTTGTAAGTTTGTAAATAATGGATGGTTGCTGGTTCAGGTTCATTCATCAAAATTTACAATTTACCAAATTAGTTTGCATATACTGATATTAACATTTTTTTAGTCTATATTAATAACTAAGGATTACAAATTTTTGTTTTTAATTGAAAGATTATTTTAAACAATAACAATAATAGGCAGAGAATCATTTCTTACAATAAACTTAATATCCGTAAAATATAGTGAAGAATTTTGTAAAGATGAGAATTGAACTAGATCGGGAAAGCCTTCTCCGTCCCGTCTCAACGTACGTACACGAAGCATGAATTAGGTGGGCCCTTGAGAAATGACAGTACCACAAAACTTTTGAATAACTAGGGGTTGGAGGGAAGAAAAGGCTTGAGCCAAATCCAATGGCAATTATATAAGAAGAATTTTCCACAATATCAGCGGGGCCCATATAGTGGTTATCTTATAATAATAATAATAATATTATTATTATTATTATTATTATTAATTTCAGTAACTTGTACACGTAGGCTGTGCCCGCTCCTATTTCTGCATCTGTCAGATTATCTTCTTCAATTCCCACCCTACGTTTCCTCTACGAACACGCCCTACGAAATTCCAAGAAAGTGTTAATTTTTTTTTAATGTATACATTCAAATTATAAAAATCAATATCATATTCTAATTTTGAAATATCAAAAGAGAGAGACAGGGGATTCACTTTTTTCTAAAAGAATGCTTCTAGATGGCCATACGCCTGACTTTGGTCACTTTTAACCGATTTTTAATAATAGACTTTGTTGATTTTTTAAAAAGGGTGGTCTCATTAGTGTTGTAGATTAGTTATATATAGTAGTTGCAAGGTAATGATTTTAAATAGTTGATTATATATGGTAAATGACTAATTCAGTAGATTATTGATGTGATTATTTAATATTTGTATAGTTATATAGGGATTAAATTTTATTTGTATATTCACGATTGTCATTCCAATTAGATTTTAGTTCAAATGAATTATTCTGACTAAATATCATGTAAGTCGGCACTTGAAACTCACTCAATCTTACCATCTAAATCATATATGATATTTTAGTTGGGTCTCAACCACATTATTCACATATTTAGTCGAATATATTATCGACCAGTCTCTATAACCAAAGAAAATTATTAATGGCTTCGTTGTCATTCTGAGTCATGTAATTATGGGTGGGATTTGAATCAACAAATCAATATTTATTTGAAATTACCTTTGCGATACAAAAATTATGATTTGATTATATAAGAAATTAAAAGTTTTCCATGATTGAAGTAGATAGACAAAATAGAGACATTTTCCCAATACTTTAGGGTAATGGGTGGATGTGAGAGCAAATGAAGGGAAAATGAAAGAGGAAAGAGGGAATTAAAAAAAAATGGTGGATAGAGAGTGTTGGTGATTTTGATGTGAGACAATTTTGAATGAATAATAATGACAAGTTTGAATTTTGATGTATTTAAAATGGGTTGCTGCAAATCTGGTTGTGCAATAGTGACCCTACCACACCTGCCCCCTCAACATCTCAGTTTCTATAGTTTATATCTTATTATAAAATCAAATTTTTGTCTCATTTTAATTTAATTAGTGTTTATATTTTGTCATCAGCATAGCTTATATCTCAAAAAAAAAAAACATCAATATAACTTAACAGTAATTGATATTTACTCATTTATTTGACATCGAAACTATCACGCCACCGATTTGTTGTATTAAAAAAATATTATCGTCCATATTTTCAACATTAATATCGCTTAATTTGAAAGTATACAATATAAATATATTTTTTCTTTTTCAATATCTTGTTTGCTTTTTTGACCTTTCGTATGTATATTTATTAGGTTGAATATGTGGTCTAGTCCATAATAATTGAATGTTTTTTTAATTTATTTTCTACTTCTTAAATTTTTTTAATTTTGTCTCTGTCGTGTTAACATATCTTCAAGTAAGTATACTCTTTATTGTTACATTTTAATGTGAGTTGGCAAAAATTTAAAAGATAAATTAAATTATTTAAGAGACCAAAAAAATTGTGTATAATTAAAATTTGTTAAAATATAAAAGCCTCCATTAAAACTTTTTTCAAGTAAATGAAGAAATACTAAAACACTATAGACTAATATTTAACTTCTTTTTGTTTTTATTTCAACCTATATTTCTATCTAATTTACCATATTATTTTATTATGATTTGCGAACTCATTTGAAAATACGTGCACATTATCAAATGGTAGGTGAAATTAATCCATACATCATAATGCAAAACTAATTTCTAAAATCAAGAGACTAAACCGTGATCCAAATAAAAACTAAAAAATGTAATTTGTCCTAAAGAATGTTAGGAAAACTAAACAAATGATTAAAAATAGTAATATACTTAATTTAATTACTTGCAAAATATCAACAAATTTGCAATATATCAAAAGAAACAAGCGGAAAAAAGAAAACAAAAAAACAACCACCGTCCATTGAAATGGAAAATATTCAAAGAGATAACAAACTGCTAGTTGGGAGTTATGAAGGTAGGTAACTCAAAATAGCATAAAAAAAACAAAAACAAAAACAAACCACGTGTGAGATGGCATGTTCCCTTCAATAAATGATCGAATTTACCTGCCTTGTCCGCACATAATATTAATACGCATAATTGTAACCAATTTTTTTTTTTTCAATTTCTTTCAAAGAATATTGATCTAAGCATGGAGTAGCGGTGGATTTCTTTATTTCTTTACGGACGGGTGATAGATTTAAATTTATGATCTTCTACAACGATAAGTATCGTAACCAGTTGAACTATGTTAGCATAGTAATATATTAGTAGATTCAATTCATATATAATATATATATTTTTGTTATAATTAGGTCTAAGTTGACTCTTGCTATCAACTTTTGTTTATTTTAATTGATATACCTCCAAAATGTACGTTTTAGTCACCATACTTTCGATTGTTTTTCATTTTAGTTCACGTGCTTTTAAGATGTTCATTTCAGTCATTGTAATCTTAGATAATGATGATTATTTTGGTATATTATGGCTTACTTGGTAACGCTCTCGTTTCTTGTTTCTATTTATTCATTTTTAATAAAGAAAAATAGGATTGTATAGTCCGATACCCATGAATTAAATGAATTAAAGGATGAATTAAAAATTCTTAAATTAAAACTTTTTATTTTTATCTCATTTTTTTCTATCGTAATTTTAGCGCAACTTTACATTACTGAATTTCTTAAAATGTATCTATAAATTTGTAATAAATGGTTTATATTGTCTATAATATTTGTGTTAAATTTTTACAAATAAAAATTAAATCTATAATTTTTAAAAGTATAATAACTAACTAAAATCGACGTGACAAATATTAGACTTAACAAAAGTTGAAACTACAATAACCAAAATGAATATTTTAAAAACAAAGGAATCAAAATAGTATTTAAAATTTTAATAACTGTTCCCTTTTATCTTCTATTTTACTCAAAACGAAAAACGTTCATTTTTGTCGGTATTTAATACGTATCAATGAAAATTGTGATTAAAACTATATATTGACTACTGAGTAAATTGTAGATACTAATTTTATCATCAACTGATTTATACATAAGTAGTGTACGATAAATATATTTTTTAAATTATAGTATAATATTTGAAATTTTATGAAAATATAACATATTTTAAATCAAGTTCAAGCTCAAATGCAAAATAAAAACATACTATGAAAATCATGCATATATATTACATTAAAAATAAATAAATTGTAACATTTTTCGAAATCTATTATATATAATGAGAATTTTCTATTTTTAAAGGATATTATTCAGATGATATATGATTTCGACGTCTAACTTATAAAAAAAAAATAATATTTTAACATCACGCCAGGTTGATATAGTAATTTTTTGTTGATTTTAGATTGATTTATTATTTATTCGAAACATCGTTTTTTAAATAATTTTCTTTCGAACTATTTTTTTCAACTCGTAATAGAAAAAAAAATCGGGTTTGCTTGAAAACATTATATTCATAAGCACGTGGTTGTGCTTTTCTTTTTTTAAATAATTGAAAAGAAAATTAATAAAAAAATCATTATCATCATTATTATTTTTTAGCAGGGGATCAAACTCATATTTTAATCAAGGTTCAAAATTTCGCTCAACACATCGATATGTCGACGGTCTCGACATCGATATTGGAGGAGAAAATCTGTTTTTTCCCAATGTCGTCGACATGTCTACATGTCGAGGAAATGTGGACACATCGATCAAATGTNTTTTGCATTGGATCCCTGAACAATTGAGAAAATATGGATTCATGGTGGCCTTCTAGTTAGTTGAGAGTTACAGGAACATCGGTTGTTTTTCAAGAAAAATTTTAAATCGAAAATTTTGAACCCAAATCTTAAAAAAGAAGGATTTCTATTCAAAACGACTTTAGTTTTGTGTGAGTAAACAAAAAAGTCGAAAATAATAACAAAAAATTATACGACATGGGATGTTTTATATTTTTCTTTTAAAGAATTTAAAGTTAAATTCTTATAATTTTGGTTCAAAAAAGGGAAAAAAAAACAAACAAACTTCAAATTAAATGTAATTATAAGATCTAATAAAATCTTAAAGAAATAGATTATAAAGCATCGATACATAAAAAACTTAATTTAAATTAAATTTAACTAAAAAATCTAACAAAATCCTAAAGTAACTCATTTAAAAGAAAAACAAATTTTAATTAAACTTTACTGTTGAAATCGTAAAACAAACAAATAATTAAAATTAATTGAACTAATTATTATTAAACATTTAAATTTTAGAAAAGTTTAATTTTTATCATTTTAGTTAAAAAAAGTAAAAAAAAAAACAATCGTTCAAATTAAATTTAACTATAACAATCCAATAAATTCTTAAAGAAATAGATTATAAACTATCGATGAAAAACTTAATTATTAAACTAAATTTAACTAGAAAAATCTAACAAAATCTTAAAGAAACATATAATAGATTTAAAAAAACAAAATTTAAATTAAATTTAACTAACAAAATCTTCGAATAATTGATTTAAAAGAAAAACAAATTTTAAATTAAATTTAACTAACCAAATCTAAAAAAAATCAATTAAAATAATTATATTAAACATTTAAATTTTAAACTAAATCTAACTTTTTAAAAACTATTTCATACTTTATATATAATATCTATTTTCACCTATTTTGATCAATTCGGTAATTAGATTATATTAGAAATCATCAATAAAAAAACCACATTAAACTTTTTAATTTACTATTCAAATAATTTTCATATATTACATTATTTTGTTTCAACATTTTCCAATAAGTATATTACTTATATGATTAGATATGATGATTAGAAGTGATTAGTTATAGATTAATTAAGTTAATTATTTATTAATTTAAAAAAATTTCCATCAATATCCAGTATTTTCGTATTTTTTATTGACATCCATGTCCGTAAAATCAAGACCTCGACATTTTCATAGATATCGACATTTTGAACCTTCTTCCTGAATGGCCTAGATTCTCCCGTCGATAGTCGCTTTGAAAGTATTACCTAAACTCTTCCGACTGAATATAATAAAGMCTATAAAACATAGAGCTACTATCATTTCTTCATTATAGATTGAGATCTTCTTCRAACTTAATGCACAAATAGATAGAATAGCAACAAATAGCATCTTTCTAGCCTGTATATTCGTGGAACTCCATCTCATTTATCAAGCTTTTCTCAAGATTTCAGCAACAGAACGGGAAGTGGTTTAGGAAAGGACTTTCGAATCGGATGCGCTCGCCCAGCGAGAAAGGCCCTGACCCTGCCAACCAAGTCCAAATCAAAAAGAAAGAAGAGAACGAAAGGAGAAGAGAACTTCGTATTTTGGTAATTCTCTAGGAGTCATGTTTAACCTTGAATGATTTTGCTCTTGTCCTGATATTCGATTACTGACAAAAATAACCTCGAACCAATATTTTACACCACAAAAAGTAACTATTTTAATTTGAATTAATTATTAATATATATATATATTTTTTTTTTTTACAAGGCAGCAGATGAGGTTGTTGGAAAGCTAAGTGAATGTTAGCAAAAGTCCAAGGCGCATAATTAACAATAGAGACAAATCCAATTGAGGTGCCTTATATTTTGACCAGTTGGACCTCTAATTCTATCGTAGTTTGAACAAATAATTGAACTCAACATCTGGTCAAAATACCGAAATAAAAATCTCTTCAATTTAAAATTATAAAACAATAAAAAATCAAAATATAGTAATTATAATTTATATAATATGAAATGATCTTATATTTTGGACATTACAATGGATTTAATAATTTCAAATTTTCAAATCAGTGACACGTTGATCATTCTTGATTAAGTAGAAAATGTTTTCAGATTCCATGATTATTATGTACTGTGTAATACTTGTTCTTAATATGCAAACAAATGGTAATAAGTGTGTGGACTTTTTTTTATTTAATAATGTTTTATTTTAAACATATTCAACATATATATCATGAAAATTGTAGATTAAAATGTAAATGTACAACTACTGTACTAGTGGAGAACTGGCAAAAAAAAAAAAGCATCGGGTGCCGTAAAGTGTGAAGTGACATAAGTCGTCTCTTGCAATTTTTCAAACAATATTTTTCGAAATAGTTTGGTATATGATATATATCTAGAATAAATTTAAAATAAAATATTATTATTAAAAAAAGTCTGATAAGTGTGTACGTATATGAAATTATTAATACTAACAGCATAATCTGTTAAAACATAATAAATCAAATAAAAGCAAGGTAAATTTTTTTGTTTGACTTCGTTAATTATATTAATTTTATAATATTTTTTAGTGGTTGGACCATATGAGATGGCCATCTCTTTTTTCCTCATTTATTCTCTTATTTTTGTTCCCTTATTTGGTGAACCTCATGGGCGTCAATGATGCTGTCAATGACATATTATCTCTCCTTCTCTCTTCTATTTATTTTTTTTCTCTATTTCATCATTCTTCTCCTCTTCTAGCAAACTTGTGATCTTGTCACTATTTCGTTATCTTAGACGTTTCTATCACCCCTTCATTCCATGAATGCCTTTGTCGTCACTTATTTTCCCTAGATGCTTCAGCCACCATTTGCGCATAGCACAAATTTGAGACTAAAACATATTTTTAGTACTACATGCGAAGGTAGGGGATCGAACTCACGATCTTCTAATTTGACACAAATGTCTTAATCTACTAAACTAGGTTCAAGTTGACACTTTTGGCCATTTCTTTAATCATACATCTCAAAAAATTACTGTATCAAATCACCAAAAACATTAAAATGAATTGATTTTTTACATAGATTATAAAAATAAACTATCTCGGTGAATATTAATATTTACAAACCAAATTGGGCTTTAAACCCCAAAGCCCAACAGAAAGCCGAAAAAGCAAGTCCAATTCAAAGCCCAATAAGAAGTCAAGATTAGAGAGAGAGAGAGAGAGAGAAACTTCCGAAGGGAGGAAGAAAGATCGTTGGTGAATCAATCAAAAATCTCTCACACAAAAGATTGCGCTTAAAGTCGCATCTGATCTGACAACAAAATACCACCATCCGCTTCTTCCCCCTCTTCCGAATCCCCAAAAAAATCCTCAAATTTCAAAAAGGAAGAAAAAAAATTCCCCAAAACCCCAGCATTTATGATCCTAAACCCCATCCATTTCCCACTTTATTCTCTCTTTCAATTATTTTTTCCCATCAAAAGCCCAAAATATGGCGGGGATTGCACAGAGCTGCGTTGATCATAGCAATTACAATTGTTTCCGTTGTTTTTCTTGGTGGTGGTGGTGTTATTATTCTTGTTCCTGTTCGTATTTAATCCTTAAATCAAAGTGGGGTTTTATTATATTTTTATTCGTCTCTGTTCCGGAAAACATTTTCAATTTCAATGCCAAGAAATTTTCTGACGCCTCACTGCCGCCGCTGCTGCTGCTTCTTATGCTTTCACTGTTTGATTTGTTGGGTTTTCTTCTTTTTCCATTTTTTCTTCGTCTCCACTCACCCCAACATCTCAATCACACTTGCTTCTCTCGTTTCGATTCTCCCTAGAGAGAGAGAGAGAGAGAGAGATGGAACGAAATCTTTATTCCAAAGTTTCCCTTCCGTTAAAACCTAATTCGATTGTTCTTTAATGGAAGGGAATGCTTTAAGAGCACCAAAAGACATGTAGGTCTCTTCTCCTCCCCTCTCCTCCTTTTTTTTGTTTGTTTGTTTGTACTTGCCGTGATTCTCAGGGTTTTTTCCTTTATGGGTATTGAATTCTATGGGAGAGAGTTTGAAGACTGAGTAGCTCGGGTTTAACTCTTTTGTTGTTTTGTTTTGGGTGGGTTAGTGGAGCACTGGAGCTTTGTTGTCAACGATGGAGTGTAGTTGCGAGGGAGAGAAGAAGCCACCTGCAGGGGCGAACAAGATCAAAAGGAAAATGAAGACTGCATCGCAATTGGAAATTCTGGAGAAAGCTTATACGGGTGTGTAGTTTTCTTACTTCCAGTCCATTAATGCCATTCCTCTTCTAGTCTCTACTTCTCGTTTACTCTATTAAACGAACGGGAGGAGGTTGTCCTTTTGTTGAGTTTAATGTAAATTCCAAGAGTTTTGATGTTGATGCAGTGGAAGCTTATCCCTCCGAAGCACTAAGAGCTGAGTTATCGGTGAAATTGGGACTGTCGGATCGGCAATTGCAGATGTGGTTCTGTTACCGGAGGTTGAAGGACCGGAAAGCGCCTTCAGTCAAGCGGCCGCGGAAGTCTTCTCCGGCTATGGCGGGAGCTGCAGTTGCAAACCCAGTTGGGGGAAGTGGCGAGAAGATTATGGCGGGGAACCTGGGATACGAGAGCTCTTCAGGATTGGGGATGGGGTCAAATGTATATGCTCACCCAGTGGACATGCGGCTAGCTGGTCAAAGGCCTGGAGTGGCTAATGCGAGGATTGGCGTAAATTCACCTTCAATGAAGAGGTTTTATGAGTCGCAGCAGTCTATAGCAGAGCTTCGAGCCATGGCTTTAATAGAGGCACAGCTAGGAGAACCGCTTAGGGAGGATGGACCAGTTCTTGGCATGGAGTTTGACCCACTGCCCCCAGGGGCATTCGGTGCACCGATAGGTAAGATTGGTTATTGGTTGGTTCTAGTTTCCGTTTTTTTTTTTTACATTTTTTCATAAAATATAAACTACCCTTGATCTCATATGTTCTCTAGGAATTACGAGTAATCTGTTTATGGAGTATCGGATTTACTGCTTCTTATTATACCCTGTGAGCCAATATTATTGTTGACAATATTTGAAACTTTTTACTACTAATGACCAAGAGGGCAAGTTATCTTAGGATAAGGAGATGTTATTACAAGGTGAACTCTACCTATGAAACAAATTGGCGTCAGAAAAAGTGAAATCAATAGATTTGATGTCTATGCTCCAAAATGAAAGCAATTACCCTGACTTCATCGAAGATATTCTCACTATCTGCCAATCTTCCCCAATCTTAATTCCTACAGAAATGAATACTGTTGCAAACTTTCATCAATATGACCCACATACGTATGATTAATTGACATTGGTATTTTGCATGAGTTTTCCGTTTGTAATTTGCCCCCTTTCTTAATCCAACCGTATAATGTATTGCAGTTTCCAAGTTTTGACCGTGACTTCTCTGTTGTTGAAATGTACCCTGATGAGTATATTAATTCAACAGTTTAACATCAGACGTTTAGTATCTGAATGTTTATTCTTGCATGATAAATGCTGGACATCGATTGGTTTAACTTGGGGAAGTAAAGAAATTTTCTTCAATTTCCATTTGGCTCAACCTCAACGTGCATCCTGCCTGATGAGTGTTTTGTGTTGCTCTAGGAGCCACTACTAATATTGATGAGAAGAAAGCCGGACAGGTTTTTGAGGTTAGTGCATATAAGCAAAGAGATGTAGAGCAGATTGAGGTTAGTCTACCATCTTTCATTCGCATTTTTTCAGATTTTGCTCTGAAATGAAGCTAAAATGGTCTCTCTTTTTTTTTGGTCCTCCATTTCCTAGCATCATCAGATATCTGGGAGGACTCTGCACGAATATAAGTTTCTTCCTGAGCAGCCAACTGTGAAATTGGATAGACACGAGAGAGGCGCCTCTTCTTACCAGTATGATTCTCATGCAAATGTTCAAAATATGAGCAGGACTCAATCGATAGCTTCTGGACACTCATTTTTGCATGGACATGAGCAAGTTTCCTCCGGCTACTTTTCTCAAGGCCAGATGCCCAATCTGAATATTTTTTCTCAGCAAAGCAGACGGGGTCACCTTTTATTATCTTCTATGGGAGAGCATGATAGTAGTTTATGCAAGAGTTCTCTAGTAAATATTTCTATGGATCCTGAATATGGCACTCACCGAACTACTCAGCCAGAATATACATCCATCCTATCGGATCAGAGTGTCGTTCATGGAAACAATGTTTTATGGATTGAAAAGAAGCACAAGGTATTTTGAAAGATGTTATAAATTTATACTTCTCATAAATCAACATTTATTTCTGTATTTGTCTCATCCAGAATGATGAAGCTAGAATAGCGCGGGAAGTTGAAGCCCATGAGAAAAGGATGCGGAAAGAACTAGAGAAACAAGATGCCCTGAGGAGAAAGGTCTTTTCTAATCTTTTATGAATTATTCCTCATTATATACTACTCGCCGAAACTCATTTTTTCTAGCCCCCAAGGGGTAGTCCACTTGGCAAAGACATGGGGTCTCTTAGTCATACTGGCTCAGAGGTCTCAAGTTCGAACCTTCTGATAAGTTTAATACCACAAACCCTTGATGTCTCCCGAGTCTTGGGGTGGACGTGGGTGCCCATTGATACAGGGGAGTAAAGCTCCAACTCCCAGTTATATAAAAAAAAAAAAACTCATTTTTTCTCCTTCTCTTTCTAGAGAGAAGAGCAGATACGGAAAGAAATGGAAAGACATGACCGAGAAAGGCAGAGGGAAGAAGAAAGACTATCGCGTGAGAAGCAAAAAGAGGAAGAAAGATACCTAAGAGAGCAAAGGCGTGAAACATTAAGGAGAGAGAAGTTCTTGCGAAGAGAGTCCATTAGAGTCAGTTTGGTGGCCCGTAACTAATTGTATTTTATACTTCTATTAACTAAGTGATTTACTTCCCCAAACTATATATATCTAGGCTGAGAGAACTAGACAAAAAGAGGCACTTCGCAGGGAAAGAGAAGCAGCAAGGCTTAAAGCTGCCAATCAGAGGGCTATTGCTCGCAGAATGGCTAAGGAATCTATGGAACTTGCTGATGATGAACGCTTGGAACTCATGGAGTTAGCTGTGTCAAGCAAGGGATTGCCGTCAATAATGTCTCTTGACCATGAAACATTAGAAAATCTCGAGTTATTTGAAGGTTCATTGGGCTATTAACTTCCTTTACTGTTTAAATTCATTGACATCTGATGAGCAATTAAGAATGGTTTTTCTATTGCACGGAATGACCCAGAATAATTTGTTTACCTTTTTACATGTGATTATACTTATGGACTTTAATTTAGTGACCATGCCAGCATTTTTTTTTCCCTAAGAATTTTGAATGTTTGCGAGTATCCAGGCTAGCTAAAGTCTTTTTTCACGATGTAGGATTGGGCTCTTCTTCTATGGCCTGTAAGCTTTCAAGCTCTAGCCTTATTGTCTTGTCTAATGATTCGATTACAGCTTCAAAATTCCTCTAGCATTTGCACGTTCTGTGGTCATAATTGTTTTTAAAAACATTATATTGATCAGCAGGAGGAAAATGACTATGTCTCATGCTTTTCTAGTTGAATATGAAATGCTCAATAGAAATAATCTTCTAGAGAAATTCATTTTATTGAATATTTTTTAATTCTCCCTTTTTTAATGATTGTTTGAAGTCAAACAAATGACATAGAAAGAGTGTTTATATATATTACTTTTCTAATGATTGTTTGAAGTTAAACAAATGACTATGTTTGGTTCATTCTCAATTTCTTTTCAGTATTTAGCAGCATATTTACTAACATAAGTTACATTTTAGTTATGCGACCTACCTTTCCACCTGAATCTGTGAAAATGAAGATGCCATTTTTAAGTCATCCTTGGACTGATTCTGAAGTGAACGTAGGAAACCTTCTTATGGTAAGATTTATTAGATTTTCTCTTTGTTTTTTTTTTCTCCTTTTGTTTTGTTTTTTTTTTTCATTCAGCATGGGGGTTTTTAACTTGCATTTTTAAGTTACTGTACGTGGGAAAATTGACCTTGAAGTTAATTGTTTCTTGTAATTTTCCATTACGTGCCTCTAATTGTTTGCATGCACCAACCTCCCGGGAGAAAAACTTGTAGCTCACCTTTAAAATTATGCTTCCGTAAAGTTTCTATGGTGTTTATTTATAACGTTATTGAAGAAATTGTTCAGAAGCATGGATTTTTGCGTAGGAAATGATCCATTATAAGAATGTTGAATTGTGATGCATATTTCTAGGTGTGGAAGTTCTTGGTTACTTTTGCAGATGTTCTTGGGCTTTGGCCTTTTACTCTTGATGAGTTCGTTCAAGCTTTTCATGATCATGTAAGTTATCTTTTTAAAATTTTCTTAATCTGTAACCTGACCTTCAATATGCCTTGTGATTCTTGTCTTATCATTTACTTCCCTTCAATATTTCAGGACTCAAGGTTATTGGGTGAAGTACACGTTGCTCTTCTGAGATGCATCATAAAGGATATCGAGGATGTGACTAGATCCCCTTCTGCAGGTCTGGGATCCAACCAGAGTAGTGCTCCCAACCCTGGAGGTGGCCATCTGTATGTAGTTGAAGGGGTGAGGCTACTTGCTGGTTATTACTGCTCTTAAAGTTTATCCATGGTTTTAATTTGGTTCGTTGTTCACCATCAAGTTGCATGGTTGGCACTCCATATCAGGCATATGCTTGGGGTTTTGATATATGCAGCTGGCAGCACCACTTAAATCCTTTAACATGGCCTGAGATACTTCGACAGTTAGCCTTATCAGCAGGATTTGGGCCTCAACTGGTGAAAGGGGGGAATGCTGAACCAGCATATCTTCGTGATGAAAATGAGGTGATATCCTTGTGTCCAGCTTTGAAGAAAGTGGAAGTTGACTATTTGCTTTAATTTTTCATCACCATTTTCTTCCTTGCTTGTGGTAGAAAAGATAATGTGAATATACACTTAAAAAACTCTGGTTATTTATTGTCATTCTTGGTATGAAGCACAAATATAGTACATCAGGACCACAGTTAAGTGACAAGCAGGAAACTGTTTGTGGATGCAGTTGGAGTTCTACTCCAATACCGTGATAAAATTTTGGATGAGCTCAAAATGATTTTTTTTTTCCCTTTGTCTAATTCGCCAATTAAGTTGTGAAGTGATTCACTTTGTAGTCAACGAAGTATATGAACCTAAATTTTTGAATATGTTTGTTAACAATATATATATATACACAAACGTGTCTTTGTGATGTTCATGTCTTAAACATGTCTTTTTGATGGTTAGATCCGTATTGAGGAAACTGTTCAGGTCCCCTAGCTAATTATACCCAAACTTCCTGCTGTGCTTTTCATATGTATCTCCATTCTATCTGGTAAATATGGCCACATTAAAGATGAGGTTTTTCACATTCAACTGAGATATGATAAACTATGGATTACAAATTATAACATAAACAAATGTCATCATAAATAATTTTGGTACATGTTGAACATGGTGTTAAGTAAATCGTTTCATTTACAATCGCATAGGATCACATTATGTAATTTTCAAGGTGGAGCATATCTTATGCTTTGGACTTTTTTTTTTTTTTCGTAATTTGTGACTTCGTACATTCATATCTCCAAGTTGCAGTGCCATTCTCAAGATTTGTTGCAATGATAATCTTTCTTGATTAATGGCAAGTTGGCAAGGGTTCGGGGTCTCTTTGTCATACCGGCTTAGAGGTCTCAAGTTCGAATCTTCTAGTGAACTTAATACAAAAAATCCTTGATGTCTCTCGGGTCCGGATTTTGGGGGGGCGGGTGCCCCTGGGTATAGGGGAGCAAAGCTCCTGATTTGCCGTTCTAAAAAAAAGTGGCAATTTATGTTTTTAATGAGGCCATTTAGCAGGGCATCACTCTTCCCTAGGCCTCAAGGTTTTGTTTCCATGTTTTGCTTCTATTTAACATATCATCTCTCATCAGAGTAAAAAGGAATACTGTTGTTTCTGATTAAAAAAAGTTCCTGTTTCTATTTTCTCTTTCTCCTTGTGAAGCAGGGTAATGATGTTGCAGGCATCATTTCAAATTTACGCAATGGTTTGGCTGCAGAAAATGCTGTTGCTATAATGCATGAAAGGGGTCTCTCCAATCAACGCAGATCTAGGCATCGACTGACACCTGGAACTGTTAAATTTGCAGCTTTCCATGTTCTTTCTCTTGAGGGAAGCAAAGGCCTCCCTGTAGTAGAAGTTGCAGATAAAATTCAGGTACTTAGTGTATATTAAATGTTTATTTTGTATCTTCTATGATTCTATGTTGTAATTTGCTGTTTGTTTTTCAAGAAATCTGGACTTCGGGATCTCACAACAAGCAGGACGCCAGAAGCTTCTATTGCTGCTGCATTATCTAGAGACTCAAAACTTTTCGAAAGGACTGCCCCTTCAACGTATTGTGTCCGTTCTCCGTATAGGAGAGATCCTGGTGATGCGGATGCAATACTTTCTACAGCAAGGGAGAGGATTCACATATTAAAAAGTGGGTTTTTGGATGGAGAAGATGCTGAAAGAAATGATGATTCAGAAGTCGATGTTGCTGAGGATCCTGAAGTTGATGATTTGGGTATTGAAGGAAATTCAATGAAAGAGCATCAAAGTCATGAAGTGTGCCCTTTCGATGAAATGACTTCTGTAACCAGTGGAAAGGGATCTAATGAGGTTAGAGATAGTCTCGAAGTTGGTATGGAGAATGGTGGTCCCTATACATCTGTCCTGGACTTTGAAGGTAGGGTAAAGGGGGAAGAAAGTCCTATTGAACAACCTATTTATATTACTGGAAGTTGCACTGGTCAAAATCAAGAAGATTCAGATGTAGGTGATCATGGCGAACCTTGGGTTAAGGGACTTACTGAGGGAGAGTATTCTGATCTCAGTGTCGAGGAGCGACTTAATGCACTTTGTTCATTAATTGGAGTGGCACTTGAAGGAAATTCAATGCGTACTGTCCTTGAAGTATGTTTCTGCTGCACTTTTGGCAATATCTTGGAAAAAATGCCTTCGGTTCTTCTGTTTCTTCCATCTTACAGATTCCATGTTTTACAGGAGCGTTTGGAGGCGGCAAATAGTTTGAAGAAGCAAATGTTGGCAGAGGCACAACTTGATAGGCGACGTGCCAGAGAAGAGTATGTCATGCAGATCAACGAGTCATTGAATGTGGGAAACAAGCCTGAACATAAAACTATTTCATCAACGGATGCAAGGCACAGTCCAATTCCAAATGTTGGAGAAGAAAAGAGTGAAGGACCATTAGACACAGACACTGGTTTTCAGCAAGAGGACTGCAGTAAGTCACGGAATAACAGCTATCCACTTAATGATGATTTCCCCTCAGAAGGAAAGCTGCTAGCGCAAGATGTACCCCTTGAGGCAGATCATTCACAATTTAAACAATCAGTACTCACTATTGAAAAGTCAAGGTCACAGTTGAAATCTTATATTGGACACAAAGCAGAAGAGATGTATGTGTATAGGTCTTTACCTCTTGGCCAGGATCGAAGGTGCAATCGATATTGGCAATTTACTTCATCTGCTTCACGAAATGAGCCTGGCAATGGCAGAATTTTTGTTGAGCTGCATAATGGGTCTTGGAGGCTTATTGATTCTGCCGAGGTATTTTCTGCTACATCTGTTTTGTGGAAGGTTTTGAGAATGTTTTCTTATATCTTTGAAATATCAATATCTTTTACTCTGCAGTTATTAATAAATTGCAGTGTTGAACTATACTTTCACTAATAGGCGTTTCCCTCAAACCTTTGCACAAAACTATGAAATTATTATGATAGTGCTGTTTTCACGTAAAATTCTTAACTGTCATACAAGTTAAATAACGAACTTTTCAAAATTTCCTTCCTCTATAGAATTCGATACACCACTTTTAACTAGAATTTAAGTGAAGGTGAGGCAAAATATCATTAGTGGCACTCTCTTTAACTAGAACCTAGGTAAAGCAATATAGTATACTAGTATGTCCTGACGAGAGTATAACCTTTTAGTCTTCAAACGTTTTCCTTTTCTTAGGATTGGAAACAATACTAATTTTGTTAATGAAAATTAAATCATATATGGAAATTAACAAATAAATAACATATCCTTTTAAGCTGAAAATGAATAGCATATTCTAGGACCCAACTCCACCTACAATACAAGCTGGCAATAAAAATAGAAGCAAACTTAATATATTTTACGTTTCTATTCCAACAGAGTAGTTGAAATTATAGATAGAAAAATAATTCTCTTTTTCAGAGATCTACATCCAATATCATCCCAGAAGAGAAGACTCATTCGGATAGACCCAAGGAACTATAAATTGAGTTATAATAATCCATTGTTTTATCATCATACTTGCACAACTATTGGAGTCTTTTCCACTGTAAAAGATTGCAAGCGTGGCTAAGGTTTTCTGTATGCTGATTTTTACCGAACTGTTGGATGCCCATGCAGGGATTTGATTCTCTCTTAGCTTCTTTGGATATACGTGGGATCAGGGAATCACATTTGCATCTTATGTTACGAAAATTAGAAAATTCATTCAAAGCAGCTGTCAGGGGGAAAATACTGCAAGATATCCAAAGTAAGGGCGAAGGTGCTGCTGGCCATGATTACAATGCTCATACTTATGGTTCTGTTACTACTTTATGTGCAGATGATTCTGATGCGTTTGACAGTTCAACATCCTTCAGAAGTGAGCCTGAGGAAACTGGTTCACGTAAGACTGAAACATTGAAGAGATACCATGATTTTGAGAGCTGGATGAGGAGTGAATGCTTCAGTCTTTCAATTTTATCTGCTGACAAATATGGAAAGAAGCAGGGCAGACAATTGCTCGGTATCTGTAATCATTGTCAATGCTTTTACTCTGAAAGTTCCAACCACTGCCGTTCTTGCCATGAAACTCGTCGTATTTCTGATTTATATTTTTCTGAACACGAGTCTCGATGTAAAGAGAACATTAGTATATCTTGGTGTTCATCTTCCCCCCTGAGGATTAGATTGCTCAAGATGCTGTTGACTGTGATTGAAGTGAGTTCGTTTTGGCTGTAGCTTATAGTTATAACATTTACGTAGCTGTTTATGATATCATTATTGAGTGTAAAAGATTTCCAGTACTTCGTGTGTAATCGGCCCTTTTTTTTTTTTTTTTTGGTTATCTGGTGCATAGGCTTCCATTCCAGTAGAAGCTTTTCAACCATCCTGGACAGACTTCCAAAGGAAAACTTGGGGTTCAAGACTTCTGTCTTCATCGTCTGCGGAGGAACTTCTTCAGGTCAATATCTAAACGCACTGGAAGGCCTTTTCCTTTTTTATCTGTTAATATCAAACTCTTTTCTTTTTCTTTTTATTAATCTCTTGTTTTCAGATTCTGACTCTATTGGAGAATGTCATTAAGCGGGATGTTATGCGGTCTAACTATGAGACCACCTATGAATTGTTGGCTTGCATCAACCCACCAGGAAATTCCATTTGTCGTTCTTCCCCTGAAACAGTGCCAGTTCTTTCATGGATACCTCTGACTACAGCTGCTGTGGCATTAAGGCTTTTGGAGTTCGACGCTTCCCTCTCTTACATTCTGCAGCAGAAAGCTGAGTCTCATGATCATGGGTCAAGGGACATAAAAGTGAGTCTTTCAAGTTTATGTCCTGAATTTAACTAAATCAAATATACTGCATTTATGAACGTGTGTTTTTAACTTCATTTGAACGTCGAGGTAGAAAAGTATATCAGAAAGAAGAGATGGTTGACTCGTTTAATCCTGCTCCTTGACATGGCTTATTGTACTGATAGCTTTAAGTTCATTGTTAGCATGACTAAAAACCCATTCAAGGTTTGTTCAATACAGTTCTGGTCTGACTTGGCTCTTTCATTTCTTCAGCACTTGTCAAATTATGTTGCTGTGAAGAACAATCAAGATTCTGAAACTGCTGTAATTTCAAACGAGTATGTCAAAGAATCAAACTGGATAGATTGCGGGGTTGGACTCTCACGCACCAACCACAGACGATCAGATTGCAAAGGAGGACATGGGCGTACTAGAGGTGGAAAATCACAGAAAAGGTCCAGTGGTTCGAGGGCTGTATCCGGCAAGAGAAGTACTGGCACCAACCGCCAAATATTAAGGCAGGTGCTGATGTGGAAAGACGGACAAGTGGATGAAACAGGAGGATCTAGGTGCGGTCGCCGGAGCATTAGAAACAGGCAAAAATCAGCAAGTAAGATTAAGTTTGGTTCTGAGGGAGGAGGTCATCCTGAAGAAACTATCCATGAGAAACTAGAATTATCTCTGGACAACAACCAAGAATGGAATAATGACCAGGACTTGGAACAAATTGACGGAAGTCCCAGCAGTTCTGATAGATTGCTTTCCATTGATGACAATGGTGGAGTTGAATATGATGATATGCTGGTAGATGTCTGTGCTCGTTCCCGGCGATCTGGCTACGTACTGGCTAGTAGAAGTTATGATATGGATGAAGACAAAGAAGATGATCTCTATGATGATGGAGAGAGGGGCAATGTCATGGATGGAGGAGATCTTTATGTTGAACAATATATAAATGGGGAGTACAATGAAGAAAGTAACAAGGATTTGGAGCATAATATGGTCTCAGATGAAGAGATGCAATCTGCCTCCTCGGATTACAGTATCTAGACTTAAAAATCCAATGTTTAAGGCTGTGTTCTTTGTTAGATGTGGGTGGCACGATCCTGAAAATATAACAGTGGGAAGCGTTGGCATCTGTGCAAAATCTGTCATCCCCTGTGCTGCCCACAATGTCAATAGGAAGATAATAGATCCCATACGACTTCAATTTACTGTCTTGTAAAAAACCTACTTACACTTAAGGCAGTTTGAATGATTAATGAGGATATGTAGGTCTTCTAACAAGAGGAAATACTTTATTCTTGATTCTTCTCCGACATTCTTTGTTTCAATAGCTATGTTTTACCATCATGACAATGAATGTATATAGGTATGATAAAAGACAGCTAAAAATTGTTGTACCAGAAGTTCAGAATCTTCAGAACCAGGTCTCTCCAGCTTTTGAATGTTGGTACATTATGGCAAGCATTCACCTACTTCAGGCAAAGATTACTGCACAACTAAAGAATCGACTCGGAGTAGCCCTATGGAAATAAATATATTTACGAACGAAAAGCAAATAAGGTTTCCTTGATTACAAAAAAACAAGAAGTTGGCCCCTTAGCAAAATTTTCAAACACTGTATATTAGCAATGAGCGGTTCCTTGGAAAACCAAGCCAACGAATCACAATCTTACTGACCCAAGAGTTTCTTAATCCCAGCCTTCTGCTCTGTAGTCAGCCTTGATGGGAACTTGATGTTAAATTTGATTCTTAAGTTCCCCTTCTTTGTTGGATCTTTCTGCATCGGCATTCCTTCTCTCGGGACAATCTCTTCGTAGGTTGGACTGATAACATTGTTGATTGGGATCGTTAGACTTCTACCATCCAAGGTAGTGAGATGCACGGAGTAACCAGTCAATGCCTCGGCCAGCGATATTTTTTGTGTGACAATTAGGTCGTTTCCATCACGAGTGAACACACCATGCGGTTTCTCATCAATGATGAAAACAAGATCTGCAGGTATCACATTAGGCTGCTCATTCCCTTTCTCTGGGAATGTGATCTTTGTTCCTTTCTTCCAACCCGGCTTTATATCGATCGTTAATATCTCTTCCACTGGTACAATCCTCCTGTATAAACAGGGAAACAAAAGATAGAGAGATGGATAAGCATAAAGAGAGGAAAAGAGAGGAAAAGAGAGGAAACGTGCAGCTTTAAATGGAACATTGAATCCACAATAGGAGCTAAATTTGGAAGCTGTCTTACATACTCTCATGACATGCATATTAACAAAAGTTCTTCTTCCTACTTAGCAAGAGAGATGGGTTTATCAGTTTTACAAAGGGACAACCAGCCAAACTCATCTATAAGAGAAAATATTCTAATAGTATGAATAACAATCAAGAGTAAATGGTAGAGCATTTTGTAAGCTGAAGTCAACAGACACATTACACATCCACACTCTAATATAATATGAAACAACATTTCTTCCAGGAAAATGGAAAAGAACAGTACTTGTGATCATTAAAGAACATGCTTTGTAAAGTCTCTCAGGAGTTGGAGTTGAATCAATATATGGTACCAATGCTAAGTTCGAAGCAGCAAGGAAAGATGTTTACCCGCTTGTGTCGGAAACTTCTCTAGAAATTTTCATTTTCTTGGTAGTTCCTTTGTACAAGTCTTCAAGGCTACAAGGCAATTTATTCTCAATTGGAGGAGCTTTACGAGAAGCAGCTTGGTGGTTCATGGATCCTCCTCCTCCTTCTCTAAACGATGTAAATATATCATCACCAAAAATGCTAGTCGGAAACCTTGGAGCCCCTCCCATTCCTCCAAACGGACTTGCAGACCCAAAAAATTCCGCATAAATGTCTTCGGCGTTTCTCGGATTGAATCTAAATGTTGTCGACCGGTCGCCAGTAGAAAAGAAGGAAGCTCCGCCGGAGCCACCGGCATCGGGCGGCGGCACCTGACCCTTTAGACCCTCTTCACCGTATTGATCGTAGATTTCTTTCTTCTGGGGATCGCTAAGAACCTATACGAAACATTCAAACAGAACCAAATCCAATATAAGGCAATCAACACATTCAACAAATTAACAAGAACAAGGGGAAGAAGAAATCCTATATGTTTTTGAGATTCAAAATTCATATCAGGGAAATTCAACGCAGTAAAGTCTAACAATCTGATAGATCTTTAGAAAATGATTCGATTTTAATTTGGATAAGAGAGAGAGTCTTGAAAGACGGACCTCGTAAGCTTCGGAGATCTGCTTGAATTTGGCCTCCGCTTCTTTCTTGTTATTTGGGTTCTTGTCGGGATGCCATTTCATGGCGAGCTTTCTGTAAGCCTTCTTCAAATCGTCATCTTTGGCATTTCGATCAACTTGTAAAACCTTGTAATAGTCGATTCCCATTGCCCTTTCACTTCCTCTTCAGTTCCTCCTCCTCCTCCTCCCTGTAGATTTTCTTCAAGGATTTAAAGTTGGATTTTCTGCAAATAAGCAGATTGAGCAAACCCGTAGAAAGTTCCAGAATTATCTTTCACTTCCCTTCCTCCTTCAACCCAAAATTTAGGGTTTTTATTTCACCAAAAAGAGAGAAAAAAAAAAACTTTTTAAATAAGTAGAAAAATGAGTTGCTTTTTCGAAATGGTACAAAATCCAGGCTCCGCCAAAGTTACAGGTAAATGAGGTCATTGCTTAAAAACCTAATTCTGGAAAAGCGTGATATACATATATATATATATATATATATATATTATTGTTTATTTATTTTAATTTTGATTATAAATATATTTTATAATACAAATAATATATTTTCTATAAATTTTGTTTAATACAAACTAATAATATATATAATTTCCTTATAAATCTCATAATAGTCTAATTTTTCTCTTCTTACATTTTTTCTCACAATTAAAATCTTTCAAGTTCTCTTCAAAGAAGTTTTATGAATATAGATTATACTAATTTTAACTTAATAGTGTGTGGCTTCAAATTTTGTTGTTTTGTTCAAATTAAGTTAAGCAGTTCAAAGTTATGGATTTTTCATTCCATTTATTGAATTATCGATCAACTATGCTAACTTTCACACTAATATATTGATATTCTATACTATGATTTTTATATTAAAATTTTGCCTACACGCTCTGGCATACGAGCCTCTCCCGATCAAATTGCAAATCTCAATTTTTTTTTTTAATGTGGGGTTGAGATTTAGAGAATCTACTTTTTGGCGCATGTTATTTCAAAATCAATAGTTTATCCATTCCAAAAAATATATAGATAATTACTAATTCAACTTCTACTATTTTAATAATTTGCCATCGTACTACACTTGCAGTGTTACTCTACGACCATTATTATTATTTTAGTTCATGAGGATTTCAAACATCTAAATAAAAAAAAATAGTAGACATTTGTTGAGCTATGCTGTATCTTAGGGTGTAAATTAGGAATTATTATAAAATTAAATAAGCAAATAATAAAGACAATATCATATTTAATTGCAAAAATAATTCAACAAACTTTCAACCATTCTAATTTGAATACTACTAATGATTACAATGGCAAAACGAGGAAATATAAATTATATATAAAATAAAGCCGAAATATAGATTTGTAAGCAGTTTCACATAAAGCAATATGTAAAAATTGTATGTAAAGTTAAAATTGTACCTTTCTGGTTTCTGTTTAAAAAAAAAAAAGGTCCAACCATTGTTCTTGAGTTTAGATAATTGGGCTTCTACCTTTGAAACCAAGCCCAATCATCAAGCGATAGACTGATGGATACGTGGCTCATTTATTTTCAGGTTGTTAAGGCCCAATATTCTGATAATTGGACTCTGATTGGGTTTCGAATTGTGGGCTGGACTCCCCCACCAACCTTTGTCGGTCCGGCCCAAACCATATCTCTCCTTGCCACAGAATTCTGGGCCCAGAAGCCCAGAGTGGGTGCTAGCCTCTCTCCTTTGTCCAAATTTCTTGTTTAGTTTTCGAAAGAGGAAAAGTCAAAGTGGTAGCTTGGAGGCATCAATGAAAAGCCGAAGAAACAGTTGAAAAGCAGCGGTGGTTGTTCCTATGATTACGCTATGGATAATTGATCCAAAGCTCTTCCAATTCCATTGTCTTCAACTTTACTTAACAATTTTGGAAACACAACCTATCATTTATTCTCAATCTCAATCATCTCTTCCCCAACCTTTTTTTTTTTCATTTTTCTTTGTCTATCTTCCTTTTGCCAACAAAAAACTATTCACAAAAGAAAACATGTCTAATACCTCTTTGTTGAACTTTTCCAATTTTAGTTGTGAGAAATACGGCAAAGAAAGAAATATGACAGAGGGAGTGGATAAGGAGATAAAGAGAGATGATGAAGGCGAGAGATTTGAGAGACATGAGAGAAGTGAGACAAATGAGAAATACGAGAGATCTAAAATAGGCGAGAGAGATAGATCTTAGAGTGGGAGAAGTATCAGTAAAACGGGAAAGAGCTGAAGAGAGAGGGAGATGCAACACGGGTAAAAGACCATGGAAGAAACCCTAAAAATTAAGAAGTAAAACAGGTAAGGATCTCAACTATACGCAATGGACCAAAGACAACGCTTTCTTTTTCTTTTGTATACTTTTTTGGTTGATTGATTTTCTTTAGCCCTAGACAAACCGAACTACTGATCGATTGATTTTTAACATGTCAAATAGACCACGTTGCTGGGTCCAAAACCAATCAACCAACTCTTAAGTTATTTTTGTGCACCACACTAGTATCCACCCCAAAACAAAACACACAACTAATTGAAATATAGTGCAATATATTTTTATATTAAAAGGTATTTAAAAGTGTCAAAGGGCATTGTGGGTAATGGGCTAAATACTTGAACCATCTCCTTTACTATTTCCATGAAAAAAGAAAAAGAGCATTCACACTAAAATTTTAACGACCATAAAAGAATAAAATGCCACCTTTTGACTGGGAATCTTCTTTATACTCTCTTTTCTTTTTCCTCTTCTTTTTATTTCCTTCTTCTTTTCTTTTTTATTTTCTGAAATTTTAGATTTTCTCAATTAAATATATAATTGGGTCCCATGCCATAAATATTTATACTTTTTAAAAATTCAAACCCGATGTTTTCAAATTTTCTTCAAATTAAGAAAAAAGAAAAACTTTCACCAATAAAGTATTTGTTTGATTGAAATTGAACAAACAAGGACCAATGTGATACTAAAAAAGATTATGTTTTTGTTATTTTGTGTTATTTTTAATATCTATGTTAGTCTACTTTTATATATTTATTTTATTTATTTGGATAGTGCTAGTTTATTTTCTTAAACTATGATAGATTAAATAAATATTAAATTTCCAAGAGATTCATTTAAAAAAAAAACTCTAACGGTAATTAGCATATATTTCCCATTAAGTCATGAGTTCGATCCCCATCTCACATGTTGTACTTAATAAAATAAAATAAATAAATAAACAAATAATTATATATATAAGGATCATCCTACCACTTTTTATCCAATTCCAAAATTTCAATGATCCTATTGATTTTTTTCTCTCGTTAGATACATGTTTTCGTCTATATTCTCTACAAAATTTCAATTTAATCTCTAACCCGCAGTGAAGACTAGAATTAATTGAAGATAAAATTACATGACATGATATTCAGTGAATTGATCGAAATTGAGGAAAAATCAAAATTACACCAATTTTGTAGAAAATGGGAGGAATAATTATACTCTTTCCATCTCTGAATAGATGATTTTCCCCTCTTCTAAGTTTCCGTCAATTCATCCAACACTATACAATAAGTTTAGGCTAATTTTAACATTCACCGACAAGTCACGGACTAAATTAAAAAATGTTAAAAGTTCAAGTTTCTTAAATAATAACTAACAACGAAATTGAAACAAACACCATAATATTAGAGTCTTGAAATACATATTTTGCTTCTTTTTTCTTTTTATTAATCTTTTTAATATAGGTTTGATTTTTAGGTCAGGAATAAATGTTAGGTGTGGCTGTAATGTTGGACATTCAAGTGTATTGCACATGCAGCGTGCACCAAATGCCATTATGCTTTCCCTACCCCACACCTTCTTCTTCTTCTTCTCCTTCTATGTTCTAATTTCCTCAATCCCCGCATGATTCCCCGCCACTCATAATCCAAACTCAAAATTTGAATCAACAATTTTATAAATTCAGCCAAAAAAACCACACATTTTCGTACCTTTTTTTCACTTCAATTCAATGGCTTCCGCTTTGAAGCATCTCCCCTTCTTCTTCCTCCTCCTCCTCCTCCTCTCCTCTGTCCAAATCGAAGCCAGAGTCAACAAATTCTTCAGC